AAATTAATACCATGACAGAATGGATTGAACAACAAAATAATAGAATTAAAGAATTAGAAACTGATTTAACAGAATATGAATCTGGTGCATCACAACCACATTTTATTTAAATTTACCTTTTAATTGACTCTTAATTTTTCATTCCTTTTTTTTTATTTGATTATTTTCTTTGGGACTTTTATTATTATTATTATATATTTTGTATTTGTACATTAAAAAAGGATATAATAATATGCCTTTTGTATCTATATTTTTATACAGTATATACTTATTTTAGATGTATGATAACAACAAAAAGTATAAATGGACATTTATTATATTTGCTATTATTATATTATTATTATTATATATATATTATTATGTTATTATTCTACAATTATTTTTATTATTATATTATTGGTGAAGTATATACACATGACTTTTTTTTTCTTTGATGATCAACTTTTATTATATTATATTATATTATTATATTACAGTAGTAGTAGATATTATTTTGTAGTTAGAAACGGAAATCATTATTGATTTCTCCCCTATTAATAATATTATTATTTTGAGAAATATTATTTTTGAAAACTATTACTATTATTATTATTATTTGAAAACTATTATTTTTGAAAAAATATTATTTAAATAAAAAATTAATTCAAAAAAATTTCTTCAAATTAAAAGAATATATGTGTTATAACTAACTAATTTACCAAAACCAATATCATCAGAATTATGTATTTAAAATATTTAGAATCATCGATTCCCATTGTGTTAGTAATTATTATATTGTCTAACTTGTGTTGGTAATATTATATTGGGCTTTGATTAAAGTCAAGAAATTGAGTTGTCAATTAAATGATGATGATCCACGTGATATTTAATTAATTTTAGAATCACGCGTCAGATGTGCAACGCAACGAATTAACAATGTTTACGCGTATTTACGCGTTTTTAAAAAAAATTCTCCCCGAAAAAAAAAAAATTTTAATTCACGTATTGAAAAGTTGTGAAGATGTCAGAATGTCAGAGTCACACCATTTTAAATGTCTGGAGAGCCTTCTTTACAGAAGAAAGAATATTTACAACCCCTTCGAATGCTTGAAACTCTCAATTCCAGCTGCAAAGAAATGGGCGGATGATATTTATAAAGCTTCTACTTCTGAGTTAAATATAGCTCAACAACTCTAGTAACTTCAACAATAACAAAGAATACCATTACCAAGATTACCAAGAAGACCTGTGCAACAGAAACAGCAACAACAATCATCCAAGAAATGTGGAAGATCCAAAGACAACAACAACAGCAAAGCAAAACAAATTTCTGTTAGTAAAGGTCTATATAATGAAAATTGAAAACCAAGATGATCAAGGCGAATCATCTAAAAAAATAAAAGTAATCAAAAATAATATTGTAAAAATAGTTAGGAGATGAATTTAAAAATAACATTTCTTACTCCTGAATATCTCTGCTTTGCTATTTCTAGAATTTCCTTTACTATTATTATCTTGGCACGTTGAATTACAAAAAAATACTTTTTTATATAGAATTGATGACAATAGGATGTCCAATGACCTACTACCCAATAATTTTGCTACGGATGAATAATCATTCTTATTATTCTAATTTGTTATAAATTGTTCTTATTTAAAATAACATAAAACTAAATTACATATTTTTACGTCATTGGCAAAAAGATTTATTGTCCAAAATAATAAAAATGAGGTAACGTAATTATTTTTTTTTTCTATTATTATTATTGAAACATGCTTAATTTCGTTAACTTCGCACAGTGAACCCTCTATAAATTCACCCCCGGAGGCATTAGGGCATTTATAGAGGGAATGCATTTATTTTAGTATATGGGATTCACCTTATAGTGCATTTATAAACGGTTCAATATAGGTTAGATTTCGTATCACAAAAAAATTGGATCAAATAAAAGAACTTATTTTATTTTTTTATTTTCATCTTCATTAGGGATTATAATGAACATTCAAAGTAATAAAACATATACATTTCTCATTGTATTCTATTAAAAGTTTAGGTTTCACATATACAAGTTTACTAACAATACATATATACCTGAGATATATATAAAATATTTATGCAGAAGAAATTTTTTACGATTATTTTAGATTCTAACAAAAAAAATTATTCATTTTATAATAATTATAACAAGGAAAAAAAATGATTTCAAAACAAAAATTTTCTTTTTTTAAAGGAGTAATAACAATAATAATAATTCTAATTATAGTTCCAAATTTTATTACTAGCGAAGAAATCACCATTACTAACATTACTAATAAAACATCGGTTATTGTGGTTAAATCAACATCACCTTCTGTAATTATTACTTCCACAATATTATCAAAAAATAAACCCCCACCTTCTACATATATATATAGTAGTCCTTCTGCTATCGCTACTACTACTCGTAAAATTACACCTTCTACTGCTACTACTTCTTCAAGTAAAACTACTAGTGAAGCAATTAGAAATGTTGGGAATGTCATTTCATATGCGAAATTTATCGGTGTATTCGTTTTAACGTTGTTTTATGTCATTTGAATGATAATTTTTCTTGATATTTGTGATTACACTAAACATCTATGTAATACAATTTTATTCTGATAAACTAAATAAAAAACGAATTAGAAAAAAAAAAAAAAAAAAACTTAAATTATTATTATTTAAAAATAATGAGTGAGCAAACATATAAACTTTTTTGCATGGGAAATCCTTTATTGGATATTTGTGTCAATGCTGACGAAGAATTACTTAAGAAGTAAGAAAAAAGTGAAATATAATAATATATATAAATATACATACATTGCATATCATATATATATATAATAATAATAATTTTTATCAAGGTATGGACTAAAAGCTAACGATTCTATTCTTGGAGAAGAAGTGCATTTACCTTTGTATGTATACATGTATTTTATAAACATTTTATAAATATTTTTTATTATTATCATAATAAATTAACAATAAATTTTGTATTGGTTAGATATGAAGAATTAGTAAATAATTATAAGGTTGAATATGTAGCGGGAGGAGCAACTCAAAATACTGGTCGATCGGTTCAGGTTCATTTTTTTTAAAAATATTAATTTTATATTTTAATCCTAATTTTTTAATCATATTTTTAATTCTAATTTTTTTAATCATATTTTTAATTCTAATTTTTAATCATATTTAATTCTAATTATATATCATTTTTAGTATCTTCTTCCATCAAAAACAACTATTTATTTTGGTTGTGTTGGTAAAGATAAGTATGCTGATATAATGCGTAAAGTAGCAGAAAAGGATGGTTTGATAGTTGATTATTTAGTTGATAATGAACATCCAACTGGAACTTGTGCTGTTATTATTACTGGTTACAATAGGTAGAAAATTATATTTATCTTTAATATTATTAATTATTATTATCAATTATTGATCAATTATTATTATTTTTTTTTTTTTAATTATCAATTATTATTTTTTTATTTAAAATAGATCATTAATAGCAAATTTGTCTGCAGCTAATCATTATCAAAAATCTAAACATTTGGATTTACCAGAAAAATGGAAAATAGTTGAAAATGCAAAATTTTATTATATTGGAGGATTCTTTTTAACTGTTTCTCCTGATTCAATGTTGAAAGTTGCTAAACATGCTGCTGAAAATAACAAGGTAAATATTAATATATAAATCTATATTTTATACTAATAAATTTTTGAAAATATAATTTAATTATTTTTTATTATTATTTTTTAAATACTTTAAAAAAATATTTTTTTAGCCATTTATGACAAATTTATCAGCTCCTTTCTTATGTCAAGTGCCAGCTTTTAAAAATTCCATGAAAGAACTTGTTCCTTATTGGGATATAATTTTTGGTAATGAATCAGAAGCTGAAGCATTTGCTATCTCCGAAAATTGGGAGGTAAGTTCACCTTTTTTAATCTGTTCATATTTTCTGAGAGAAAATAAGAACCTGCTTAATCCATTAATTATTTTATTATTATTACTACTTATCATTTACATTTATTAATAATTCATTATTTAGACAAGAGATGTTAAAGAAATTGCATTGAAAATGGCACAATTTCCAAAAGAGAATACTAAATTTCCTAGAGTTGCCATAATTACTCAAGGTTCAGAACCAACCATAGTTGCATATCAAGAAACTGGTAAAGTAGAAGAAATTCCAGTTATTCCTATTGATAAAAAAGAAATTGTTGATACTAATGGTGCAGGTGATACTTTTGTTGGTGGATTTTTAAGTCAATTCATTCAAGGAAAGAGTATTAAAGATTCTATTAAAGCTGGTCATTGGTTAGCTAATATTAATCTTAAACGTATTGGTTCTAGTTTACCAGATGAGAAAATTCCTTATCCTTGTTAATAAAAAATAAAAATAATTACTTACATGTTTAATAAATTGTTTAATTTTTTTTGAAATATTATTATTTATGTATTTATATAAATATTTTTATAATGATTTTTATATAATATTGGAATTAAAGAAAATGCCCAATTGTCAATTGTATTGTCAATTGTTTGTCAATTGGTTTTGCCAATTGGTTTTGCCAATTGTTTGCAATTTGAGAAATAAAACATTATTTAAAATTCACTTTCTCTAGAGTATTTGAAATTAAGTTATAAAGACATTGAATATATGATGAAAAAAATAAAAATCTAAATATCAAAGAATAATTTAAATTATCTTTTAAATGCTAATTAATAAAAAAAAAAATTTACAAATGAAATTAATCATCAAATTCATAAAGTAATGAAACATTGCTTCTTGTAATCTAATTATTAAAAAAATTTTACATTGAAATTTCCCACAAATTTATATCTATGTATAGATACCCATTTAAGTATATAAAGAATAGCAAGAAGAATAGAAAGAATAGAAAAAAAAATATAATAAATAATAAAATGAATTTCTATAAATAAAATGGAATTTTTTTATATATTAATTTTACTTACACCAAAATTTTAAAATACTATTTAGTGAGAAATTCCATATATTGATAAATAATTATCTGTAGCTCCAACCGCCATCACCATATGATGATTAGCAAGTGCTACCGAATTAACTTGTGCACCCCACCCCAGGAATCCAGCATTATATCGTGTTGATGAGAGATTCACTCCCGATGCTGTATTCCAGACTTTAATTAATTGATTTGAGTACACTCTATAAATAAAATAAAATGAATCATTATTCTTAAAATATCAAAAATTTCCATCTATGGGAAAGAAGAATATTTATACATTACCCTGCTACAATATCTGCTCCATGATGCAAATCCATTGCATTCATCTCGGAAACTGTTGCTTCATTAGTTATGGTATATTTTGATCGATTTTGTCGAATATCCCATATCTTTATTTCTCCGGATTTACTTCCTGATACCAATTCACGACTAGCTCCCTTTTGCCATACCACATTCGTTATAATATTTCTATGTTCTTTACTTGTGGCTATCATTGAATCCCTTGGCTGAATTCTTCTATCATACATACGTATTGCACCATCAGCAAATCCGGCAACTATAATATCACCTGAATCACTAGTAATATGAGTTATGGAACATCCTGATCTTGATGGCAAAATCTAAAAATTTAAATATATATAATATAAATATTTTAAATATTATAGAAGAGAAAAAAAAGGGAAAGGATAGAAAAGTGTGTAGTAACTTACACTCATTGTAAATTCGCGGGTTGCATCCCATATTCTAATCGACCGGACATCCCCACCAACTAATAATGTACCTCGAGATTGTTGCCATTCTGCAACAAGACCACATCTTGGATTATTTGGTAATATCTCGGGCAAAGCACGCCATGATGTCATCAATTCTGATGTTGTGGGAGAACTATAATTACGATAAATACGTACTATACCATCACCTATAATTACACACGTATATATATATTTATTTATGAGTATGAATGTATTTTAATTAATGAAAAAGATTTAAAATTTCTCAAGAAAAATGTATACAAATTACATACTTGATCCGGCAAGTAACATCGACGCTTCACCTTCATTTATGAAATTTAGGGTGGTTATTTTGCTTCCAGTAGGATTACCATTTGAAAATGTATGCGTACGGAAGTGGTCTTTCCAATTCCAAACACTAGATTAAAAAAAAAAAATTATTTCTAAATGTTATATATATATATATTATTTTTTTTTGGAAATAATTTTCCTCCCATAAAAATTAAAGTTCATATTATTGTTTTTTTTATTATAATAGCTTACCTAATAAGATCTTTATCATTGGCAACTATCAGATGTGGTTCAAATGGATGAAACAATAATTTTGTTGGTTCGGTTTCATTATTTAAAAGGCCAACTTGTTTATTCCATCGACTCGATCCTGTAAATATAATCATTTAAATTCATTAAAATTATTTAAGTGATTTTTTTTTTTTTGAAGTTATTTAAATTAAATAATCTAAATGTTCATAAATTACCTGCAACTTCTTTTAGCGGTAGTGTGGATTTGATAATATTTGAATTTCTTTTACGTCTCCACGTTCTTTCATTGTCATCAATGCTACCTAATTGTTCGGATTCGGCTGGCTATAAATAATTAATCATATAAATATAATTAATATAATTAATTAAATAATTTTAGCTGTTTACTACTGTCACTATTATAACGATCGTTACAATTGTTACGATTGTTACTGTTTTTTAATATTTGCATTATTATTATTATTATTATTATTAAAATTAAATCAAAAAATTCTAACCTTCATTTGTGGTTCACGGAAATATTCACAACTCCAATCAAAAAATTTCGATTTAAGTGGCAACACTTCTTCTAAAGATGTCGATCTATTTATTAAAGTTCTTGATGCTTCTATCTCTGGTGAATTTTGATCTTGAAGAACTTGTCGTAAAGTAATCGCTACAGTTTCTGAATGAGATGATTCTAACAATTGATCATTTATGGCATCAACCACTGTCATCGCAGGTTGTGAAACTTCGGCATCAGGATCGGTACACATGTTTTGTAAGGCTTTCCATACACATGTATAAACTGTGCTAGGTCGACTCTCTCTTGGACGTTGTCGTAATATTCGTTTATAAATATCTAATAATTCTTCATGTGCTACTTTTATAAAATTATCAAGATATGCACTTACGATATTTGAAAGTGCAATCACAAGTTCTCTTCTTACAATAGGCGAAGCATCATTGTTGGAATCAAGCGTATATATGGCAATATTATGTTCGATATTAACTATTTGTTCAGTACGTTCCAAGTCTCCAATAAATGTACCAAGTGCATAAAGAGATGCGGCTCGAACTTCCGGAACTGGATCATTCAAAAGTCCAAAAAGTTTAATGTGAGCTTGATGTTCAATACCTTCACTTTTAGCGTCGGCATGATTTTTCCAATATTGACCTATACAAAGACATGACCATTGTCTTAACAATGGATCAACGTTATTAAGACGTGCTAAGCAAGCTTGTAAAACTTGTACTTTTTTACAAGCAATTTGTCCTAGATTATAATTTGTACATAATATGGCTAAAATAAAGGCGCACATTGCTCGATGTTCAGTCTCATTTGGAATATTAAGTATACTATTTGGTGCAATAATATTAACGAAATAAACATAACCACTATCCTTTAATAAATCTTGTTGACAAGATCTATCCACTGCTAAAATTCGTGCCCATATAAATACTAACGGTGGTTTTAAATCTTGTGCAGGACTTTGTAATAATTTAAGTACATACGGAAATATTCCTATCGATAATGCTAAACTAACAGCTCGAGGTCCTAAATCTAAATATTTACTTAATAAACCTAAAGCTCTTGATCTATGAACTTGACTAAGTAATACTTGTAATACTATTGGTAATTGTTCGGGAGGTTTTTGTGAAACGGATCCTTTTGATAACCATACTTGAAATGCAGTTAATTGTTCATCAAAAAAACTTGAATGTTTATATTCAACTTCTGGTCCTCCACTTTCGGCATTTAATAATGATGGTAATTGTGCTAAGCACATATCAACTGCCAAATCCCAAGAATCCCACATAGGATGATCATGAGTTGGTGGTAATTGTGGATGAGACATTGGATTACATTGATAACGTCTCATTATTCTTTCCGCTAATAAAAAATTTCTAAATAATGCAGCTACCATAAGATCTTGTCTAAATAATTGTTTAAATAAATCTCGAGGAAGAACATTCCAAGCAATTGTATCAGTAATTGCTGTAAAGATCCAATTCAATTCACCCAAAGGAGTACGACGATCTTGTAATCTTCCCGGAAGTTTCATTACCATGTCTACAGTAAGATATGAAGGTAATGGATTTTGTAAAACGAACCATCTTAAAGCAATTTCAATTGGAGATGTTAAACATGAAGTGAATAAATCAGCTGGTAAATGGGGGTGAGTTGGTAATGTTTCGTTTGGTCCGCATGCGGCCAATTGAATATTTAAGGGTGTATTTGACGGAGCACTAGAGTCTGGTCGAGAAGGATCCAAATATCTTTGTTCTACAAACCTTTTAAAACTTTCTAAAATATTTCCAGCAGCTGAACAATCATAAACATAAATACAAGGTGAACCTAACCATGATTGTAAATCACCTAAAGACACTGGAATATATTGAGTAAAATGCTTATTAAAACACCAAATTTCTCCACTAGCGGTAGGTTTAGGAACTCCATGACCATTGTAATGAAATAAAACGCGTTCCTCCCTTGCACCTTTTCTTAAATTTGTACAAAATTTTTTCATTTCATCAACTGATGGATCTAAATATTGTTTATACCGAGTTCTAGCGCTAAGTTGTTCATATTGAGCTTGAAGATTTTTTCCAATAGCATCTAAAGCCTTGGGTGGAGGAACTGAGAAGGGATCTACCCAACATTCAAGTTTTGCACATGGACTTGGCTTCACCACGTCCGGTGGATCTACACCAATGTTTAAACATAAGACTAAGGCTCCGGACACAGTCTTAAGTCTTTCTCTCATTCTCCAATCTTGAACTGGCGGTTCTTCTCGGTTTTGATTCTTATTAGACAAATGTCTATTATTATTATAATAGACATGTATATTATTATCATAAACTATGTTAATCCCGTCGACATCTTGGTCCATTGTATTTGAACCGGGAATGTTACTTTCGCCAAAAGCGTTTCCACTGTTTAGTTCACTCGAGTTTCCACTGTTTTCTTGTTTACTTGTGTTCTTACTTCCTTGTTCGCTTATGTTCTTACTGCCTTGTTCACTCGTGTTCCGATTTCCCTGTTCGGGTATAATTCTACTTCCTTGTTCACTTGTTATTGCTGAAAAAAGTCTACGCAATTTGTTCGAAATATTGTCAGCAATTCTCAATAGCATTTAGCAGTTTGAAACTGACTGGGAAAAAGAAAATCACTGTATGTCATATGATATGACTGATTATTAAGATTATAATCTTGATTATTTTATCATACCCCCAAATTTAGTTAATTTTCGATTGTTATCAAACATTACCTCATTTTGCGCCTATCAATCAGGCATTTAATCCGGGAACAATGAGATTATATATAATATTATAATCTTTGGGTATATTTCACACAGAGAAAGATTAGGATTCGTTTGAAAAAAAAAAGTTAGTTTTACATTCTTCACCAATACACAACTCTTACACCGCGTGCAAACTTCAATTTGTTTAGAGAAAAAAATTTAAAGGATCATCATTTTTTTATTACATTACAATAGAATCTTTTTTCTGAATTTAGGTCAAATGTTTAATTAATTTATTACAAGTTTTACTCAAATTTCTAGAATAAAATCTTTTAAACAACTAATACTGTAATAATAAAAATTTTATAATTTATAATAACAATTACCTTTGATTTTTTCATATCAAAATTAATAAGTAGATTGGTTTATTTAAGAAAAATTACATGACGGTAAAACATGAGGCATCAAAGAAAAATTTAATATATATACACATGTCAAGCAGCCAAAAAGCTATACAAATTGAATTTTGTCTATCGAGTTCTCTGATTTCTAATATTTGATTAACGATACTGCATCAGAAATTTTATCACGTGACCTACGGAACTTTATGCTCAAAAAATAAATTTTTTGACTTCATCCGCGATTTACGAGACAGAGAGAAATTTTCTACTAAGGTGTTTCTATGAAAGATCGAAAGCCCTGGTTCTTGGCTTGAAGATGCTATATGTTTCATTTCTGTAATATCGATATTTGCTGAGATATTCGTGTTCAAAGTTGAATGTCCATGAAAAATTTAGCCATAACTTTTTCATAATTCTGCTGGAAAATTCTATACTTCACAAAATTTTCCACTAAAATTTTCACAGACGTTCAACTTTAAATGCAAATATCAATGCTACATAATAATCTTGTAATCAAAAACCAGGACTTTCAATCTGTTAAGAAACACCTTAGTAAAAAAACTATTCTCTATTATAGTCAAAGTTAAAAAATTAATTTTGAGTGTAAAGTTCTGAAGATCATATGATTATTCCGGACTTTACACCTAATTAATGCTTTACATCTTTCTTTTTTCTTTTATATAATTTTACATACTATTTACATAATATTTGTTTGATTTCTCCTGAAATTAATTCATTTTATATATAAGAATTATATTCTTAATTATTTTTCCAAATTCTTAATATTGTAGATTTTTTAAATGGAATTGTGATAAAAATTTGTAATTTCACAATTAATTGTATATTTTTATGTAGTAATGAGTTTATAGTTTTTTAAAAAACTATAAACTACTTAAATTATATTATAATATACTCAGATGTGTATTGTGATTCAAATTTTAGGCCACATTCAAGGGTGTCACATTTTTTGTTTTAGATTACATATCTGAGTATATTATAGTCTATATATCTGAGTATATTATAGTCTATATATCAGGTGGTATATAGGTTACATTTGTATTATCATTTGAGAACCACAAAAACATGTACTAATATGATGTGTTTTACTTTTTAAATTATACTCAAGTGACATGCATTTTGCTTTTTATGATATGCACCAAGGTGACACATTTTATGTATCAGGACACATGAACAAAAAATATATTTAATAATGTATTCAGTCATATGTTGTCATTTGTAAATCTGATGTGAGGGTTATAAATATGTAGTATTTTAACTTTCTGATTATTTTTTTTATGAGAACCAGAGTTGAAACATGTAGTGTTAAAATAGGTTCACCTGGATGTTTTTGATATGAAACATAGTGAAGATTTATTTCTATCTGAAAGATTTTTAAAATGAGAAGCACATAGTATCAAATTGTTATTCCTAATTGGTAATCCACTAAAAACATAATTTTATATTATGTATATTTATAATAATTTTACTTTGATGACCTACTGATTTTTATGAATTGTTATTTCTACTTGGTAATTCACTAAAACATAATTTTATATTATATATATTTGTAATAATTTTATTTTGATAATTTATCAATTTTCATAAATTATTATTCTAATTTTATATTATATATATCTGTAATAATTTTATCTTGATAATTTATCAATTTTCATAAATTGTTATTCTTACTTGATAACTCACTAAAGTATAATTTTATATTATATATCTGTAATAATTTTACCTTGGTAATTTACTTTTTTTCAAATATTATTATATTCACCTTTATCTTAAATTACTTCAAAATACTCCATCAAATATATATCTAAAAATATATTATATTAGATAAAGGTTTTTGTCAAGATAGTCTCATTATCCAACTCATGTATCTTGTAACCACTTACTTTTCCTCTCCAACTTCTATATACATCTCAATATTACAAACCAAATAATCATAAGTATTAACAAGGTAAGAAAGATATATGCCAATAGTGGTAATATCAAAGTACTTGTCACAATAAAAATTGCTCTTATCTTTTTTATCAAAATCTAAAAATATGATTCAATTAAAGGTAAGATATTATTTTTTTCCTGAGCTGAAAATATGTCTTTATTAGTTTTTCTAATACTAGTTTTATCACTTACTTTGATATTATTCTCAGTATTGATTTTTGATAATTCAGTAATTTCATTATTGATATATACTGACATATTATTACAAGGCAATAGAATTTTATTCTTATTATCAATTTTTTTATTTTGATCCATATTTTTTTATATATAAAATATTAACTGAAATTATTATTCACAGAAATATTATTAAAATTTGATATAAAATTTTATTTTTTATTTTGTATATTTTTTAACATCTCTATTAATTATAAATTTTAGTTGTCACAGATTAAATACAAAAAATATATCATACTGAAAAGAAATTCTGATTTTAATTAATTTATAATATAGAATACAATAAAATAATTGATTATTACTAATTTTTAACTAATTTATAATATAGAAATTACTATTTGGTATAGTAATTTTTTTGTATTTAACTAGTGTGTACTAGCTCTGATATATTTTCTAATTTCAAATATTCTAATTCATTAACTGTTGAAGTTAACTCTTGTTCTACTTCAGCTATTTTAAATTTGAAAAACAATATCTTGAATTCTTTTTTTTGATAAATTTTTTTAAATTGAAAATATATACTTTTATATCAAGGTCAACTTATCTTTCAATATCTTAATTATAGACTTAAGTAATCTAATTTTCTTGGATTTTATAATATTGTGGTGACGACGAAAGATTGATAAGGTGGTACGAAGATAGTAGCGCAGAAAACATGTGGTATGGGAACACAAATGATGGAAATGATGGAGAAGTATAAATGATGGAAATGATGGAGTTGTACAATGATGGAAATGATGGAGTTGTACAATGATGGAAATGATGGAGTTGTACAATGAT